CAGAGCAGTGACTCTAGGTTCTCTCTTACTTCATGTAACACATTATGTCTCTTTGTCCTCAGGATAAATTACCAACTGAAAATGGCCTAAATTGCTTATGTAATTAAACCCAACAATTACTTTGCATTGAGAAAGCAGAGTGATTTCATTTTAAATAGTAAATAGACTTAAAATGACCACTGGGGTTTGAAAGGGCTCTAGCTGATAAAAGTAACTGGAAGTTACAGCCTAATTTTGTTCCCCATAATCTTATTCAAAAACAATGTTTAAGTGGACATTTTTAAGGAAAATAATTATAGAGAAAGAAGAGAAAAATTGAGGACAGACAGCAATTAACCTACATTAAAAAAAAAGAAAAGAAAAAATAATACCCTGCATAGTTAATGCATCTGTGATGAAATCACAGTATTCTTTTTTGTTAAGATGAAGAGGTTTTTGTTACATATCTATGTAATCTATAATAATAAAAGCACAATATGCTAATTAGACCAGACAGCTGAACAACCTTCCAGACGACCTTCCGGATGAAGCTGGGGCTGCAAGGGCTGAGGCAAGCCACGGCTGCGAGGGCCGAGCCCCTTGCACTAATTTCATGCATCGGGCCTCTAGTAGATATATAATAAAAATATATCTATGAAATATGTATATATATATATACACATTTCACTGATTTTTAAAAAAGGTAAGGAAAAGTTATATTGACACAGTACAAAACATGCCAGTTTCAGTCATACAGAAGCCTAACTAGGAAAAGCACTTGAATTTAAGTCAGAAAGCTATACTGGTTCTAATACAAACTGTGTAATTCTGAACATACACTTTGAGTGTTTATTTTTATCTTGCAAAATAAAAGTGATTACGTTAAGAGGATTTTAAGATATGAGTCTTCCAATGTCAATATTCTCTGATTCTAAAATACACCTATACTTTGAGAATAAAAGAGAAATGGAGATTCAATAAAGAACTGTACTGGATGTTAAAATAAAAATAATTTTAACTAAGTCTAGGGGGAAAATATGCCATGATAAGAAAAACAGAAGAAACTCTAACCTAAACATGACAATTTTAATTTAGAGGGAGTACTCTATTAATGAATTTGTTAACTGGGCATTAGCTGAGTAAGCTGTTTCACTTTTGGTTAACATAGTTACTGATCAAAGAAGGATTTTGACTATGGTTGCTAAGGGACAAGGGAAAATGAACTTCTAGAGAAATACAGCAATTCTAGGACAGAACTAAGTAGAATCCTTGTTGAATCAGCAGTGACTGTAAGGCCATCACCATGACAAAATCTTATCTATAGAGAAATAATACTTACATCGGTAAACAGAAAAATAACTAATAGAGAATACAGTCATTGGCATTTGGAGCTTATAGATCCACAGAAATGGTAATGATCGCAATGGAGGTAATCTAAATAAACACTTCCTAGGTTGGGCATTTGATCCAATAACTTTACTTTTATTATCCCAATTAATCCTCAAGCTGACACTTCTATTACAGCCATCTAACGGAGGGGAGAGATGAGGCTTCACTTAAGTAATTTGCTCAGCTAGTAAGTGTCAAAGCCATCATTTGAACCTGGGCTATATGACTTCACCCTATACAGAATCTCCATTTAGTGGTTATTTTATGATTTGATCTCTAAATATTTTATGTATTCTCATACCTTGCTACCGTAATTACAACCACCATTTAGGTGAAAGTTTAATTTTTGTTTATAATTAGCATCTGCTTTCCATTATTTTTACGTTTGTAATGTACATAATTTTGAATGGAATGATACTTCTCAATTGTTGTTATTCAATCACCTAGGATTTACGAAAGCAAACAGAATAATGAGAATATCTTTTTAAATAGTTTTTAAAAATTTACTTATGAACTGCCAAAGTAAAGATTAACAATCTTAGAATAAAATATACCAAAAAAATTAAATTGGGAAGTAAATCAAACGTGTTTTTCCATTAATACACGATTGGGAAAATATACTTGCTCATTTGGTATTCCGAATAAGTCAATTATCAGAATATGGAATAGAGAGTGATAAAAGTTTTTCATAAAATGTTCAAGGAAAGGGAAAGTGCAAAGAACTAGTGTGTTTTTATGTGTTGTTTTTTTTGTTGAAGAGCAACTGCAGTAAATTGAGTTATGAAACTAATAATAACATTCAAATGTGACTGTATTTTTTCACAAATATTCCTTTATTTCTCCTAACCTTCAAATAAAATAAAAAGTAGGGTGGAAAATAATTTTTGTATACATACACACAAGTGTTTGCAGAAAGTGGTCATTAAGGGGGAAATGAATGAGCCATGAGAAAAATGAATACTTACAGGTTAAATCTAGCCAGACATTATAATCCATCACTGATCCCTGAAGGGCACTAATAATATGTAAATGTGAGAATTAGAAAACACATTCAAGGCTGTTGATAAACTTGATAGGATAATCAGCACATGCTGACAGACTAATGAAACTGATGAACTGATAAGGCAGTTTATCTCCTGGGCCATTTTTTTTCTTGTCAAATGGAGGCTAATCAAAATGTATTAAGAGTTAAAGCAAACACTCAGAGGATTTCACCCATTTGATTAGGAGGTGAACTCACTCTCTGAGAAAATTATAGTTTCGTAAACAGTTGAAACTACAAGCCTGGTCAGATAACAGACCTTCACTCAAAACTGAACAGAAAGCAACCACAATGATTTGGGGAGCAATCTGCAATTTTAAATTATATTGGGATTCTCCCCTTGAAAATGGTTAGAGTGCTTTTCAGAGTCTGGGCAAAGCTACTGCCTCTTTCTATAATGGAAAATAAGACAAAGGACTAAGCAATAACCCCAGGGACTAACTTATCTTCCACTGCCTGTGTGTGCTCAATATTTGCGTAACCATATGAGAGACAGATCCCAAGGTACCAGCTGAGTTTTCAATCAAATTATTAACATAAAATAATTGAATGAATTTTCTGAAATCACTAACTATAGTGAATGCCACACTTCCCATTAACAATCAAGATGCCAAATGCAGTCTGTTGCCAAGGATCTCAGAGCCCCTTCCCAGTTTAAAGAAAGACATCTTATTTCATAATTGAGGGAAATTGGAAATAATGGTCTTCCCAAGCATTAGCATTAAGAATAAAATCATAAACTAAAATCATTGAGCCTCTTTAGATAAAACTAGAAAAATGATCCTTTTAGTATTCACTTTGACAGAAATAACCATCCAGTATTAATATTTAAAAGTTAATTCTGATAAATCTAAACCCGCTAAGCACACACTTCCTGAACATGTACATTTCATCTGAATAGATAGACTGATGGTAAAATGCTGGATAGTATAAGGCACTGTTTTAAATTATAAGAGTTTAAGGGCAAAAGTACATTTAATGAAGGTAAATTTTAGCTTTTAATAATCATAGCAAAGAGAAAAAGAAGCAACAACTAGAAATACACCAATGTCCTTTTTAATATGAGCATTAAATCATTCCACACTGCACAGGCAACTGGGGCAGGGGTCCCAGAGACATAGGATGAATATATTAACCTCTTCCAAATCATTTTTTTTTCTGCTTAATGACCAGTGTCTCATTCTGTCTCTTAACTATTTCTTAAATTTCTATCATTTAGAAAAAAGTGAAAGTGTGTGTCCTTGTCAGGTGTGTGTGTGTGTGTGTGTGTGTGTGTGTATAATTTTTTTAGAGAGAGGAAAGGAGAGGGCAAGAGAGACAGAAACATCAATGATGACAGAGAATCACTGGTCAGCTTCCTCCTGCACTCCCCCTACTGGGGATTGAGCCTGCCACCCGATCATGTGCCCTAACCAGGAATCTAACCAAAACCTCCTGGTCTATAGGTCGATGCTCAACTACTGAACCACACTGGCCAGGCCAGGCATATATTCTATAGTTTGGGAGGATTTAAGATATTTTTTAATGTGTGTGTGCTGAAGCCATACAAACTAGTATCAAATTTCTCAAATAATAGAATACAAAAGCATAAATAATCCTAGAGACCATGTTGTCTCATTACTTTTATATGCACGAGGAAAGCCTAGAAATAGTAAGCAACTTAACCAGTTTAGTAAAAAGAAAAATCTGAGTTTGCAATTTGTGCTCTGGATTTAATATATATATATTTGATTTGAGGACAAAAGCAAGCCCTCCTCTTCCCTCCCTTATCTGGAAACAGCAAACCAATCAGCAGAACACCCTAAACTTCAGGGACTCTTTCCAAGAGTCACATGCTGAATGGGCAGTTTCCATCCACCATCAAATAGCTGCGTTGACAACTTACAGTCACAAATCAATTGTAAGTGATAGATACTTTATTAGAAATTCTAATTCTTGAGCTCTTGCACTTAGAAAAACCAATGCCCTAGCCTGCATGCTTTCTAATAAGAAAATGAAGGTAATTACCCAATGAAGAAAAAGGAGTAATTGTAGTAGCACATTTGCAGTTTTCACAGTATTGTTTTTACTCTAAAACACTAACCTAAAAAAAAGGCCTTGAAGATCCAAGGCCTGATCAATGAAAACCATGCAAATTGACTCAGTTAATCTCATCTGTTACAAGCACCAAAATGCATTCATCTCTACATCGTAGCATGTTTACTTCTGAGGATCTTCTGATTAAGCAAGTAACATGATTAAAAAGTATCATGAATTTGATAACTTCGCTCAAATCTGTGGACTGTATTCATCTTTTTCAATCTCCGGAATCTAGCTAATGCTTAATACCCAAAAGGGCTTGTGAGCCCCTTGCAACAACTCTGCGATCTGGACAATTTGTTGAGAATCAATATGATAATGCACATATTTGCTCTTGTTTAGAAAAAGTATGCTATGTGAAAATTTGAATGTGACACCCAGTTGTGAATAAAGAGTTCTCTGGGTGAGGATCAATGCTATAACGTATTAGAATTCCATTTAACACAAGCACGGGTTTTAATTTCCCCACGGGTCCCTGAAATAGCAATTGAAATAGTAAGGTTTGACTTACCCATCATGTTGTACAAGCTCTGTGGAGCAAACTGCCTTGGCATTTTCTGAATTGCTTCTTTATATACACTAAGGGCTTCCTAATTTAAGAAACAAACCAAAAAAAAAAAAAAAAAAAAGATGAAATACAAGAATATTCACCAAAAAAAAAAAAAATAACAACATCATTCCAAAATTACAAAGTTCCATTGCTATTTCTAAATGGCTCATTGGGGGGGGGGGAATAATTCAGCTGTACTTTGATGTCATACTACTACAATTTCATGAATAAAAATATTCAACCCAGTGAGTGAAGAAGGCGAGATAAAAATTTAGTGTAACAAGTAGCTGAATATTACCAAGCTCTTTTTTTTTTTTTAAATATATTTTATTGATTTTTTACAGAGAGGAAGGGAGAGAGATAGAGAGTTAGAAACATCGATGAGAGAGAGAAACATCGATCAGCTGCCTCCTGCACATCTCCCACTGGGGATATGCCCGCAACCCAGGTACATGCCCTTGACCGGAATCGAACCTGGGACCTTTCAGTCCGCAGGCCGACGCTCTATCCACTGAGCCAAACCGGTTTCGGCCAAGCTCTTTTATTTTAATATAAAATTTCAGTTCACATAGATTATTCAATTAAAATGCTAGAAAAATTCATATTTGGAAATCACCCATAGTCATCTATAATCTGTAATTAAAATCAGGCCACCAAGTAGGATCTAAATAAAATATAAAATAACAAACCCAAGATACTGAGACCCACTGAGATTATGAAATGTAATAATTTTAAAAGTTGTATCTCTATAGTACATTATTGGTACAACAGGAAGGAGTATGTAGGGGTGTGGTCTGAAAGAGGGGAGGTGCGATACTGAATGTGAGAGAAGAAACCATGCCCACATGCTTCCTGTGAGAGAAAGGGAGGACAAGACAGTCAACCTCCCAGCTCTCTGTGCAAGGTCTCATCTCCATCACTTTTCTTCTCTCTCAAAAAAAGAAAACACAAACTAATTTTAAATTAATTATTGTTTTAAAAACAATTAAAAGAAATGGGAAGGATTTATATCATATTAATACTTAATACTCAGAGTACAATGTATTTTGTAACATCAAACATTGGAAATAAGGGAACAGTCACAATATGTCTTGGATCATAAAATCAGAGATGATAAGCAAATAAGCTTGTGGAGCAATGGTTGTAATTTCCCCTTCTTGAAGAGTTGCTCTGAGAAATTAATAGTAAAGAAATCTGTTGCCATGGCCAGTGTTACTCAGCGGTTACAGTGTTGGCAAGTGAAGCATCTTGGGTTTGATTCCCAGTCAAGGGCATATACCTGGGTTGCAGGTTCCATCCCAGCCCCAGTAGGGGCGTGTGAAGGAAGCAACCAATCAATGTGTCTCTCTCACAAACATCTCTCTCTCTTTTTCTCTCTCTCTCTCCCCCCTCCCTTCCACTCTCTTTTAAAAATAAAATCAATGGGAAAAATATCCTTGGGTCAGGATTAACAACACAAAAAGAAATCTGTTAAGTATTCTTTTCTGTTTGTTTTGTTAATCCTCACCTAAGGATATTTTTTCCATTGATTCTTAGAGAGAATGGAAGGGAGGGGGAGAAACAGAGAAACCTTGACGTGAGAGAGACACATCGATTGGTTGCCTCCAGCATGCACCCCTACAGGACTGGGGATCGAGCCTGCAATGGAGGCGTGTGCCCTTGATCGGAATCAAACCCAGGACCCCTTCAGTCCATGGGCTGGCACTATCCACTGAGCCAAACGGACTAGGGCGGTAAGTGTTCTTTAGCAGAGGGTTTTCCCCCCAGAAATGAATTTCATCTTGAAACTCTTTTAATAAAACACACATTAGCTTCTTAAATGCTCACAGCGCCCCTGTGATGAGATGGTAAGGTAGAAAGCACTGAGACGGGATCAAAACAAGGGGGAAGGGAAGGGGGAGAGAGGTCTGGGCCTGACCTCATAGCGTCCCTGCTCGTGGTAGAGCTTTCCCAGGTTGTACAGACAGCTGGTCACCGAGCTCTTATGCGCGTGAGGGTCCTTCAGGTTTTCATCAGGGATCTCAGAACACTTTAGGAATGTACGTCGGGCTTCTTCGGTCTTTCCTTGGTTCATCAGAATAATACCGGTGTTTAAATATGCAGCTGAGAGAAAAACGTGGAAATATAAATGTAAGAAGATGATGTGCACTGTGGATACAATAAGTTACCTTTACTTCAATTTACTTTCTATGGATTATTTCTGATTTTTAGAAGAAACCAAGACACAAATACTTAGGGAACAAATACATATGGGAACAAATAATGTAGTAAGAAGTGTCGGTATTACTGAAAAATATCTGGAATAATCTCTGTTCCCAAAAAGTTCAAAACATTCTGAACTTAAAATCTAGATGAATAAAAGTTGTATTTACGTGAACATATTAAGAAATGACAAACTGATATCAAAATACGGTTAAAATGAGAGATATAATTATTAGAGGCTTATAATTTGATTGACAAGTTTTCAAAAATAGGAGCACATGCTTTTTTCTCTATGAGGTTGTAAGTCATCAAGATAATTTTCATGCATGAAGAGGAAAAGCAAAAGATATTTAAAAAGAAAAACTTTAAAAAAAGAAGAAGAAAAACTTTGACTGTTACTTACAAGCCAGTGTAGGCCTGCTCCCGATTGCCAGTTTATAATAATGTAGCGCTTCTGCAAACCTGCTGTTCTCCTGCAGGAGTAACCCTCTGCGTGAGGAAAAGAGAAATTTGGAGATAGGACCGTGTTACTATACATAAAACCACAAATTTTTATTTTATGTTTTAAAAATAAAAAATGGTTAAGGGGCCATAAAAACCCTGACCTGTTACTATAAAAATAAATTCTAAATAGAAGGAAATTATTCCTCAGGAGAAAAAATATTGGAGAGGTATCAGTTGCATTTATGTTGCATGAGAAAGTATTAAGAAGTATTTTCAGCCCTAGCCGGTTTGGCTCAGTGGATAAAGTGTCAGCCTGTGGAAGGAAGCACCCAGGTTTGATTCCGTCCAAGGGCACATGTCTGGGTTGCAGACTCGGTCTCCAGTAGGGGGCGTGCAGGAGGCAGCCGATCAATGATTCTCTCTCATCATTGATGTTTCTATCTTTCTATCCCCTTCCCTTTCTCTCTAAAATCAATAAAAAAAATATTTTTTTAAAAAAGAAGTATTTTCAAAAAGCCCTTTATCCTCACTGAACTTTCCTCTTTCCCACAGTCTTTTCTCTCCCACTGGTCAGAAAAACCACCTAAATTTCTTCTTGGAGCATGCACATTTTTTCATCACTTCAGAAAAGAAACCTGTCTAAATTAAATACATATATATGCATATGTGGTTATATGTGTATTTATTTAAACATGAAATGCCTCTCTCACTAGTCATATTGTTTGGGAAATACTGGTCCATGACTGCCTGAAAGACAAAGTGTAATCTAGGTCCACAGGATAAAGAGTCAGAATTTAATCAGAAGCCATAAAGACACAAAGAGAAAGATTAAAGACTATCCACATTGTTATTTCCTTATTTCAGAATACAGTGCGGCCTTGACTTACGAGTGTCCCGGCTAACGAGTTTTTCGAGATACGAGCCGTATCTTGGCCGATTTTTTGCTTTGAGTTGCAAGCTAAAATTCGGGTTACGAGCCAGCTTCAGATACTCCACCGCTAGTTGGCGCAGCGAACGTCACAGTGAACGCCACAACATCAGCCCAGCATCACGTGTCTCACTCGTTCACTTTAAGATTTGACATACGAGTAATTTGAGTTACGAGCTCCGTCACGGAACAAATTAAACTCATAAGTCAAGGCCCCACTGTATTGAGCACATTTCAGTTCACTACAGACGCTCAGACTCCACACCCCATACCTCTAGGAGGCCCTTGGGCAGTGGCCACATGTGTTACCCCAGCCATTCCAGACCCTGCTCTCCTAACCTATTTGAGAATCAATTATAATCATATCTCTGAAAATACAGTGTCAGGGCACTGAACTTAGTTGAAAAGCTCTCACAGAGGCCTTTTTGGCCTTTCCCTCTCCTCTTGTAATCAGCGAGTATCTTACAGACATTTGGCACCTCTCTGGGGCCTGAGTACTGCTGTTATCAACCTCAAATTGCAGATTCTACTTGCCAGCTGCTGAGGCTTTTGAAAGGCTGGTAAAAGGGAGCTTTGAGAAATGAGAAGGCTACTGATAAAAGCTTATCATTTTAGAGAGTATTTTAAAATCCTCAGTTTATTATTTAATGGGCATCATTAAAAAATATCTAAAGCAAATCATTTTGAAATTAAAGGTTGCTCCCTCCTGTCATTAGCATAAATTAATTTCATGATTATTTCTAATACTGTTTGTTAAAAAGGACACCTGTAATAGTGTCAATAAATAAAAAAGTTAAAAAGTCGCCCGTCCTGCATGGCTTAGTGGTTGAGTGTCGACCCAGGAACCAAGAGATCACAGTTCTATTCCAGGTCAGGGACATGCCCAGGTTATGAACTCAACCCCCAGACGGGGGCATGCAGGAGGCTGCCGATCAATGATCCTCATCATTGATGTTTCTATCTCTTTCTCCCTCTCCCTTCCTCTCGCTCTAAAATCAATAAAAACATATTTTAAAATAATAAATAAGTAAAATAAAAAAATCATTTGAATAGAGCAAACCATTTCCAAACACATGAACATCACTTACATCTATACATACATGTACATTTTCATTAAAAAATGTTAACAGTTAATTTGATCATGAAATTGATATGCTTTGCTGTTAAGTGTATTTTTCAGTTGCTGGGAACAAAGAAGAATAGTTTTCTGCAGTAATCAAGAGTTTGTGAAAATGTTCTATTGCCTTTAAAAATGAGTAAACTTGATAAAGAGAAAACACAAACATACATCTCAAAAAAGGAATAATACCCTTTATAACAATAATTTTATTGACAAAATGCTTTCCAGTTAACTAGCTCATATACATTATCTCATTTTAGAAACTTATCTACAAAGTTAATTGTCTTCGTCATTTTCCTTTGAGATTCAGATAAAGAGATGCTTTTCCTTTGATACAGGCTAATGACATCAGAGGAAAATACCATCCAGTCGTTTAATCTCTTCTTTCTACCTTTTCTAGGAATTCAAATCTTTCATGAGGCCCTCTTTATCCAGTATGTTCCATCTCTTTCTGCATTACAGTTTTCTTTCCTTTAAGACCACAAAAATGTTCATGTGCCTGTTAGCATAAAGGCAGGGAAAAACCACTTGAAAACCTTTATTCCTTCATCTACCTCCGACTACTTACTGCTTATTATTGTTCTTCCATTTAAAGGTAGATTTCCTTTAAGAATGTCTATGGTGTACATGTCCAATGGCTCAAATTTCATTTACCCCTAAATCCAGTGTTGGCTATTTCCCAGAATTCCACAGAATGTCATAATGAAATTTCTACTAATGACCACATTTTAAAAATAACATGTTGATGTGAACCACCCATTCAACTGTAGCACCTATGACTATTGAACCCATCTTCCTTCCTAAAATTGTATTTCCTTGGCTTCTGGGAAACCAGTCTCCTCTAGTTCTCTTTTATCCCTGGGACCATCCTACAGAAAATGAAAACACTTCCTCTTGTTGATTTATTCCTTTAAGGAAAGTTGGTGTTTCACAGGACTTAAGTCTTTTTCTCTTTTCATGATTACATATTGTCTCTACATGACATCACGCACACATGCAGCTCATATGCCGAGTTCTCTCTCCTGACATCCAGCTCTGTTTTCAACAGTTTACGGAGCCACATTAACCTAGGTGCTCAATGGAATTTCAAAAGCAATGCATCCAAATCTTAAAAACAGTATCTCCCAATGAAAATAAAGAAATTAAATCTCCTCAATAATTAGGACCATCAGGTTGCTAAAATCAGAAATCTGACTTTTTACTTATCCTCAAAATTCCATGTTTTATAAAGTCTCCAGAACCTACAGACTCTCATTTTTTAAGATTCTTTATTCTGCCCCTCAAGGTTCATCTTTATGGCAGTCAGAGCCCCTTTATCTTTCCTATCACCTAAATAACTGCAATAGCCCCCTAATTAGTCTCCACATAATTACATTTCTAAAGGGAAAATATGCAGCTAGGCTAGAGAGAAAGAGCATGAGAGATGAGCACACTTCTTTGACACATGCCTAAAGTCCATAAACTTTGAAAACTGGTGTATGCATTCAGCCTCATGGCCTCCCCAATACTGATGCATGATATTGCTGTCATTTTCCAATTCATAAAATATACAAAGAAGAGAAAAAAATAATTGGTATGGTACCCAGATCTAGACAATCCTGTCCGGCCTGCTTAATCTTTGGAGGAAAATACTCACATGGAGATTTGTAGCAGGCAAGTGTCCAGAATTATATAATGTGGCTCTTTAAATTAGAGCATCATCCTTTGCATCATTTGAATAACATTAGCAATGGAGTGAGTCCAACCAATTGAAATGGCTATTGTGACTAATTTCTCATGGCTAAGGATTTAATTGAGCATCAACTAGGCCCTAGTTTGCATGCTGCAGATGTGAAAAAGACAGAAATGCACCTGCCAATGATGCTCAAGCTACTGGGGGAAACAAGAAAGGAAATAAATGGTATGGAAAATTGCTATGAGAGAGGACAGAGGACCAACACCACCCCAGCTCAGGAATGGACAAAGGTTCACAGAGCCAGGGTGACAGTGTCAGAAGCTTGAAAAACAAGCAGCAGTTGGCCAGCAATAAAAAGTGTTATCAGAGGCTCCATGATATACAGGAAGAAAGAGCAGTCCACAGAGAATTTACCAGCTCTAGGTCTCATGGTTCATAAGAAGACAAAGGCAGGATTGGAGCAGGTTCTCTGATACTAAATCTCATGCTATTTCCAGAAGAAAAATAAAAGAGGAAATAATTAATCAATTCTAGATATATGCGTACCAGGTTGTTTCCTTTGCTCTAAAACTCTCCAGATTTTTGTATAACACTAACTTGATTTGATGCTCAGAGAAGGAATCAAATGCCATTTTGGCAGGACTGGATGAATTTGGGTCAATCCTAGCACTATGACAACCAAGCTTCTGTTACTGCCCTTCTCCACATTTACAGAACCTATTCTTTATTTTGCTGAAGATATGACAGAAGGAGAGAACCGTGCACATTGTAATAATTATGGTGGTAATAATAATACCAGCTAAACTTAATGAGTACTCACAATGTATTATGCATTTTACATATGTTAACTTATTACTCAACGATAATCTTATAGGTAGGTTATTCTTACTAACTCCATATTATAGATGATGAACCTAGGGCAAGAAAAAGTTCAACAACATGCGAAAGGTCACACAACAAGAAAGAAGTGTGCTACAATTCAAGCCCAGCAATCTCATTACTATAAGCAGGATTTGTGTTTTGGTAGATTACTCATACCAAATGACTGTTGAAAGTTGATGACATAGTTTGTTTACATGCTGATCAATATAATCTTCTGGTTTCTATGTTTATAGTATTAAAAATAAGAACACATTTTAATATACCATCAAGCAAGAATCTAATGGGAAATAATTTTATTCATGTTATATGAGGTTGCCTTTCAATTAATAAAAGTGGTCTATACTATACATTAATGTGAAGTTAAAGTGTTTTGGGGGGAGAAATTGAAATAATATTATAAGAAATAAGGTTCTCATGTCAATCACATACAGAACTATGTA